TCACCAAGGCAGTTGGTGTGTGTTGGATGGGAAGAATAATGCAATCTTCTGTGGGGAAAAGAAGTCACGATGACTTTCTCTTGTCCCTGCATGAAAAGCTGGTGACATCAACTTTGGTGAGTTCAGGAGCTGCACTAATTTGTCATTTCATCTAATGCTCAAAAGGCAGCAAGTAGGAAACAGAGACTGTAATTTTAGGTGTTGTCACTCGTTCCAGCCCAGCTTCTGACCAGAATCAAACCATCCCACACCATAGGCCAGGGTATGTTTTTAATCACAGTGGTTTTTGTAGACCCCCCTAAAAAACATAGCAATAAGAAACCCTTTACAGGTTCTCTGAGCAATAGTAGTATAATGTTTTTTTAGTTATGAAGAATTTTGTCCAAAGGGCTGCCTGTGTGAAAAAAGGAGATTGCTTGCTGTTGCAGAATTACTGTTGGAAAGATACTGGAAGGGAACATTCAGAAGTGGTAGAGCCTGGACCAGAGGGCTTCCTGTGGCCCCTGTAATCCTAACTTTTGTGTATATATTAACATTCGAATGAAACTGGAATTTTAAATTAGTGCAAGAGATTGACATCAGTTTTTACTCTTTTTCAACTTGCCTAAATAGTCACATTTGTGTCAGTCTATCAATTTGATGTTGCTTTCCCCAGTGAAAGAGAGGTCAAGTCTGGACATCTTTCAGCAACACTGGGGACTTTGGTCCAAACAGGTGCTGGCCAGATAGGCTTAGCTGTAAAAAGTTGAAGTGCACTGTGTTCAGTCACTGAGTGATGGACTTACTCATATTTATAATTATATACATGTGCACTGCTACAGAGACATTTATTCAGTTGATACTTGCTTAGAAACTTGGTATTTTAAATACAGGACTTTTTGAAATTTATCTTGATAGTTTGGCAGCTTTGATAACATGATGCAATAATTGACCACATTACATTCTTTAGAATGTTGCACAGATTTAACTTTAAATCATAATACTATAAATAACTCTGCTTGTAGAAGTTTGACAAACTTTATGAGGACAGAAAGAGGACTTTTTAACTTCATCTTGGTGAACAAGAACTCATTTCCTAAATATTTTGCTTTTGGATTCATTCACTTGTAGGTTGAGGGGTGGTATGGTGTCAAAATTCTCAAATAATTTTAGATAATTAAAAAAAAAATCTAATGGTTCACACCAATCTGATTTGGGGAAAATGCTTCGTTGAGCTCACATCTGAAGCTTGATTTAATATGAGGAAGGCACCCCAGCTGGGTACTCTGGTAAAGTAAGAGCAACAGCATCTCAGTCAGACATCCTCTACCAGCTCCAGCCGTGTTCAGTTGTCAGTGCTCTAAGGAAAGCAAAGCAAAAAACAGAAGCCAAATTATACATCAAAAGGGAAACAGTATTTTCTCCTGCACTGCAGGCAACCAGCAGACCACCTCAGAATGGGATTCATATACTGTGTCAGAGAGAAACAGTCAACAAACAGTCCTTTCAGTCCGTACCACCCTGTATCTGCAACCATCTGTGTAGCCAAGAACTCATATTACAAATTTATTTTTAATACCAGGTTTATTCTGATTTCAGGGATAGAGTCCTTTCCAGAAATGGTACTCAACTTGCAAGATAATCCTTGCATTTTTTAACCAAATCACATATATACAGAAATAATTGCTCCTCCCTTTGAGATTTTGAACATTAATTGAGTGATGCATTGTAAAGCCTAAGTAGAAGCTGAGCTGAAGACTGTAAAGGTTTTTTTATTTGGGGAGGTTTTGTTTGTTTGTTTGTTTAGGGTTTTGTTTTGGTTTTTTGTTGTTTGGTTTTTTGTTTGGTTAGGGTTTTGTTTGTGGTTTTTATTGCTTTGTTTTGGTTTTTTGGGGTTTTTTTTTGGTAGGAAGAAAGGAAAGACTGATGACTGGGGGAATTCTGGGGAAGAGCAGTCCCAAAAGACAAGATCTCATATAGGCAAGCTTGGGCCACATTAGGAGTGTTTAAATACTCTACAAAACTTTTTTTCCCCCATCCTGATCAAGTAACACATCATCACTGTGTATATGTGCATGTGTGGGGAGGGGAAACCCTTTACTTAGTATTAATATAGTTGAAGCTTGTGGTGTCCAAATTCCACCTGTCCAAATGAGAGCATGAAAACGTAGGAATGTTTTCTATGAAATATATTTCCACTGAGATAAAATAAAAATATGGTATAATTTATAAAGGCTGAACTTAACAGAGAGGAAAAAAGTTTCTTGAGTGAATCAGGGGTTACAAAGAGTTGCTATAAATGTGGGATACAATTATTAAGAAATAGTTATGAAGTGATGCTCTGGCATTCTTGAATTATGCTTATTGATGTTTAGAGAACCAGCAGAAGTTTTGTGATCAGCTAAAGGACTGGTGCAGCACAGATCAAATAATATATTTTCTAGTCTCTATTCAGGAGATCCAAATTTTTGACCAAAGTACTTAAACTGTCTATAATTTCAGTATTCTGAAAAAGTAATGGTGATGAAATAATGGTACTTTTGTAGTAGGAATGGTGTTAGAAATATTAAAAGTATTTATCAATGGTGATAATATTGTTGTTTGTGTCCATGTAGAACAAAAAGGTGGAAAAAAGGAGTGATCTGTGGTGCTGGAGGTTTCATATTCTGTGCTGAGCGGCCCTTTATGAATTATGATTCTGATGGTGTAATTCAGTAATTCATAGCACAATACAGACCTAGATTCAGTTCTAGTGTAAATTTAGCTGGATAATGTGTACCTTTCCTGGAGTACAGTTTTACTTTTCAGTCTCATTTTGTCTGTTTGCTTTCAGCTTTGCATAATTAATTAAAAGGTCTGGTGAATGCAAGAGAAACAGAAAGTCCAACTGTCGGTTGAAATGAGCTATCAAATTAATGCCATATGACAGTGACAGTTTTGTAAATCATCCTTTGACCTGATTTGCCTCTGAAAGAGTTTATGCCCAAATACTTATTCTAATACAGGCACATACTGATTGTTTTTATCAAACCCACAAGCAATTTATCCTCAAGTCTTAATGTGGAAAATCTATTTGAAATTAATAGGAAGTTTTACTCAATAAAGGAGTCCAGTTTTGGCTGCCAAACCAAGCAGTTCCAGAATCAAATTTTTACCCTTAGTGTAATATTCTTTCTACTGATATCAGTAGTGTTAATGATAGCCACTGAGTACCTTCTGTATTATTAGGACTAAAGAGTATTTGTAATTGTTCTTCACAAGTAGAAGCTTGAGGTAATGGATCAACCACCACACTGCAATGAAAGTGCATGAACTCATGGGCTAAAATTTTCATTTAAGAGAAAAAGAGCTCAATTTTTTTTTTCAATGGCATTTCCATGTTTCAGAACTTGTTTCTTCTAGTAAAGGAAAACATTTTTTAATTAAGCAGAAAGAATATCATCATAAAATCATTACTGTTTTTTATGGAAGCTCAAAAAAGTACACTGTATAATTAAAAATAACATATGATCATTAATGAAAAAGTCATTGTCTGTCCCTAATGCCAGACTTATTGCTTGACAAGGGAGAAGAATCTGGAATGTTAAAAGAAGCTGTTTATTGAAAAATATTAAATTGTCCTAGAAGTTTCATTTTCATACATTATATGATTTTATAATCCTACCAAAGAAAAGAAGAAAATGTGCTAATACCTTGTTTGAGTCTTTATGGTGAAACAAAAAAAACAGGAATGGTTTGGCAGATATTTTAGATTGTTTGCTTTAAAGTTGGGTTTTGAGCTTGTTTTTAACTGAGAACTGTAATGAATAAGAAACAGTTGTTTCTCTGTGTCTTTTCCTGGAGGATCCCTTTGTCTCAAGAGGACTAGAAAGGAATCTTTCACAAAGATTTTCTCTCAGTTGTGGTATTGCTGATGTCAAGCATGCAAAAATCGTGAGTCAGCACTCCAAAAGTCACGAGACTGCATTGAAAAAAAAAAAAGGCAATCTTTTAAAATATTGACGTGGCACTTGTTTGAGCCTCTATGGCAAATTTATGGCACATTCTTATACTTATTCTGCAAATCGAAATCTCATTTTTCAAAACAAAAGAAGAAAAAAGAAGAAACAGCTGAGTTTTCTCAAAAAATCTGTAAGGCTCCCAGAAATGGGTTTCTGAAGAAGGTCTAAAGCATTACAAACTTTGCAACGTAATTGCAGGTGTTGGAAACGTGGCAGTTATTTGCGAGAACTTTGATCTAAATTGAAGTCAATAAAAACAAATGAAAAAAACTGACTGAAAGAAAAGCAGAGAAAACTTCCTTTGCATTTCAGAAGCTCAGGCTGCTGTAGTGCCATTTGTTCTGCAGTCCTTCCAGCACAAATTCAGGAGAATAGGCCTCGTGTCTTTAAGGTTAAATAAAAAGATGTATAAACATCTGACTGCCAGACAGAAGATACAGTCAGATAATGACAAATAACACTTTGATTTTGGCAAAAAAGGAATAGGCAAAGTAGTGCAGATGCTGTTGTTACAAAGATATAAGACCTTTACCACAGTTTAAAAGACAAAGACTATTTGAATCTAACAACATGGTTTCTGGCCAGAAAAAGCTCCAATTATTTTTAAAAATGTCACCTCATTCACATTCAATGATCACAGAAAATGGAAACATTTTAAGGAGTAATTGTAAACATCTGCTAAAGAAAAAAAAAACGAAAACATGACTAAGACAGAAACGAGCTGCCAACATAAAGTATTGTGTGAACAAACCCACCGGAAAAACACCAGATCTGTGGATGGGTTCTGTATGGACTGTGAAAAAACTTATGATTATAAAAAAGATTAGAATCCACCTAAAAACGTTTTATTCTAAGTCAGTCTGGCCGTCTACGCAAATATCAAGGAATGTGGCTACACTTGCATTTCTGCAGCAGCTTTGGCCCCTGCTGCTTTTCCTGCCCTGTTCCAAGAGAAGCGTTTGCACAGGCACAGGGAATTGGACTCAAACTGATCTAACAATTTTTTTCTTTCTTTTTCAGCTGGATCAGTTAAGAAAAAGTCAATGGTGGTGCAGATGGTGATGACAGCTCATACAGAAATGCTGCTAGATTTCTAACCATTGCCTCAAAACACTGATTTCAAACTGCAGGGCTGTAATGACAACATAAATGAAGGTAAATCAGATCCTTCTGGTTTTTAGAAAGTGCTCTCCAAATCTGAGGCCAAGGAACAAGTGGAAGGCATCTATAGATCTGCATCTCAGCACAGCATTTAAATGTATGGAGCAACTTGCAGGATCCAGGACTGCTTTGTAGGATCTGTTGACTCCGTCGTGGAGTATCAGATTGACTGAGTTAACACAGAAGAGAAAGTAAAGATGTGAATCACCCCGTTTTCCAGGTATACCTGTGCCAGTTAAAGATATCTCCTTGAACAACTCATATCTTTTATTGTAGAGATATAATGCCCCATGTCCTCTGGCATAAGTAATCGTGCACATTTTCTAAAATACAGCAGGCAGCCAGGGTTGGCTCAGATCATCTCTTCTTAATGCCAAACATCACATCTAGAAGCAGCTGTTGTGATTGAAAATGTTTTATCACCATCCTTTGGTAGAAGCTTGCAACTGGCTGACCAGTTCACTTGAACTATTCCTAATCTATCCCCTCCTGTAACTGAGGAAAATCAGCCAGGTTCTGTGCAGCTGTGGGCAGACAGGCTGTGCTGGGCTGAAAGGTTTTGAGCACAGGTGCCTTGCACTGCCTTCCCATGCTGCAGCTTTCCCTGCCCATAGCCTGCTCCCTCTCCAGTCTCTGATACTTACTCATATTATTTCCCTCCTTTTTTTTTTTTTAACATAGGAATGTCTGCCCTTCTTCTCCTTCAGCACAAGGGGCAACACTGGTGAAAAGACTTTGCTGGCAAGGTGGGTGTGATTCTTTGCTAGAGTAGCAATAACAGTTGGAGTACAAGGCAAACCATCCGTTTTTTAAAAAGCAGACCCACAATGTTTTGAGTTGATCAGAACTGAGAATGTGAATAAGGACTTCTGGAAAATGAAAGTTTCAGAGGAAGAATCCTAGAGACTTTGCTGATTAGCTCTCTAAAAATACCCGCTGAAATTACAAGAACATCCAAGTAGCTTGATGCCTGTGACTTGTTCTAGCTCATATGGGGGCTAAATTACAGGAGGTTGGATCCCTGAAGGAAGACTATTTGTGGATGGTGGGTGGTATTTAATGTTATGTTTATCATGTAATCTTAAATATCAAAATATGTATGGAGGTGGTGTTTCTGGATGCTTTTCCTGTTTGATAGCTAGAAATTAGGTATGTGGAGGAATGAGGACTCAATACAGGCTGCCTGCATTTGGGTGTCAATTGAGCCTGTGCTCTGCAAATAGAGCATAAAGACCAGTTTTCTTAAACTCCTGAGCAATCAAAGCCAAATGCTCGTGAAAAGCATCTTTCTGAGGAATTTTCTTGGAATATAAAACATGATTTCGGAAAATTATGGTAAGTCTTTTTGAAGATCTTAAAATGTATAAAATATTAAATGTGTACTTTCAAGACGCCTTTTTTTTTTTTTTTGGTAGTTTGGTAATGGAAAATTGGCTGCTGGTTTTAGCCTGTGGCCAGGAAGAGGGTAACAGCAGTTATGTAATAAATCAGAAAAGAACAAGCTTTTGACATCCTCACAATTAACTGCTAGTATTTTCTGAGAAAGTTATTTTGTTTTTTTTTATCTAGGTTGAAGAACTCAAAATGAAACCTCTTTCCCAGCTCTAAAATTCCCACTGTTGATAGAAGTTGATTCTGTATAAAGAGTACAGGTAAAAATAACATTTTCACTTACATTTAAAGAAATTAGAAATTCCAGAGGTGACATAAGACTAGAAAATCTTTTCAAAATGGGATTATCATTCTGAATAGTTGTAGGCAACAGGAAAAAAAATGAGTTTCAAACCTACCACTGTAATTAAGTACCAGCCCTCCAGGGTCACGGTGTGCTGCCTTCACTAAAGCCATAGGTCACAAGCTGTGGGTTCTGTGGTGCATTCAGCCTGGCTTTAGGCTCCTATGACTGGATCAAAATGGTTCCATGAAATGATGTAAAGTATTGAATTGATCTAAAGTCACCCTGTTGGTTCAAAATTGGTTTTAAAAAAATTTTGGCTTTTTACTTGAAGGCTTTATGTGTGACTAGAAACCAACTTCCCAACATCTAATTTTAATCCTGTTTAAATGTTATTCATCATTTCAATCGTAGAATAAAAACCATAGAGCTGTCAAACAAAAAAAAAGGCATATACAGTATGATTTTGCTGGTTTCATTGCCATTGTAAGCCTATGACTAAGAATTAGTGATCATACCTATTGAGAAATTATTGGTCATAACAGGCCTGTTGTTAGCAATCATAGAACCACAGCTGTCTAAAGATGTCTTTGTTTTTCTGCTGAGTCAATTATGCCAGTCTAAATCTTGGTCCACTGCTCTGTCTCCTCCTGATATATTTGGTTATAATACATAAAATACCAGAAACTAGAAAAGGGCAGCCTAAGTATGAAGGTTGATGTTCTCCCAAAGTCTGAGTTTTTTGAGTATAGCATATCTCAAACATGATTACAGGCTTTCTTCCCAACTTACAAATATTTGCACTGCAGAAGCAAATTTAAAGAAAAATGACTAGTTAAATACAAGTTGAATTTGCTGGTGCTATTATGTGCTTCTCCATTGTCTCTCCACTTTGAGCTCTGCTCTTATCAGATGGAAAACAGAAGAATGTTGGTTTTAATTGCTGATTGTAAATGTGACAACCTGTACTTTCAGTGGTGGTGTTTGTTAGCTTTAGGGAACAGAGATGTTAGAGGACAAAGTAAGTTACCTGTATTCCTTCATGGACTTCAGTGGGAGTCCCAGACGCTGCCTGAGGGTACAACCTTTTTATTTTTAAATCATTAAATTTATCTGTCTTTTATGAGCCAACTTCTTTTGTAAAACTAAAGTTCATCTGGAATAACTGTGTACATCAGAGGTGTTGTTCAGATATACACTAGCCCATTTAATGTGGAATTGTACCTGTTGGACAGAGTTGTTACTAGTGCACTGCCACCTTTTAGACACAGTTTAGGAATTCAGCTCAGTGCAGATAGTAAACTGAGTTCACCTGCAGACACTTTGCTGAAAATATACAAAATTAATGAGATGGAAAATTTTTTATTCAGGGCCATGATGCACCTTTTTCCAGTAGGAGGGAAAAAAAAGTGGAATATGACTGAAAATTCAAAAGAATATTGGTCTTAGTGGCTCAAAAAGTTTGGAAGTAGGAAAAATGAGACCAGTATATAACCCTTTTATTTTCAGTACTGCAACATAATTCATATCTGAAGATACAGACTTTGGTTTTCTTTTTCCTGTCTTGATTCATTTGTGTAGGACTGCAAAAATAAATACTTCAAGTAAGGGGCATTAATGTTCCTTCCAGCTTCCTAGTAACTACCACAGTATCTCCTTTATCCTAATGCAATCTTCTGCCACTTTCAATGGGCAGTTTAAATTCCCGTGAGGAGTTTGGGTAGGGTTTTCCAGCCTGAGCTCTTTACAGCAGTGCAAAGATCCTGCATGTGGACACAGCATCACCACAGCAGTGAATGTGGGTCCATAAGTCAGCACCAGGCTGTGTGTGGCACCTCAGCATCTTCCCAGGGGTTCTCCTGAGCACAGGGCGCTCCCAAGGTTTCTAATGGTCCTCTTCTTCCTGTTTAGCCTGAGCATACACCTGACATTTGGTATCAATGGCATGAACATATCACTCTCGTTTTGGTTTAGAAAAACTGGAGGAAGGAAAATGACATTTCACAAAGAAAGCTGCCATGCCATCATAAAGACTCAGAAAGAGTCCTTAGGTTAGCTTAGGAACAAGACTAAAACTAGAGTTTGACTCTGTATCCTGATGGTGCAGAGTTGTTTGCTTGGGGTTTAGTTTTAGTTTGGTTTGGTTCGCTGGTTGTTGTTGGGTTTTTTTAACAGTTAGCTTTAAGGGGAAATAATTATAAAAGGCCTACATGTTTACTTTTAAACACAGCATTTTTTCCACTCTGCCCCAAGTCTGACATTTTAATGACCTGCTTTGCCTTGGTTTTTACTGGCAGCGTATATTGAAGGAGTATTTTATGTACAGTTTTAACATTTGAACAACGCAGCTCCGTGTTCTGTTACTCTTTTATGTTGTGGAAAATGTCTTTTAAGTTTTTATTCCTTTTAATTGCTTACTAATTTGAAGGCATTTTTGCAAATATCTTCAGCAACTTTTAGATTAATTATCAGTAAGGGTTATTAATATAAGAAGAGCAAGCAAAATAAAGGCTGCATATATTTTCACTCAAATTACTATCCTAAATGACTCCATGGGGGGTTTCTTATAGGGGTCACTGAAAGGCAGAAAGGAATGTTTTTACTTCTTTGCTTTGTCACAAAAATTAGGTTACAAGGGCTATAAATGCAGGTAATACTTTTTATTACTAGATTTTCCTCTGTAATGAATATAACATTTCTTCTTTTCATATAATGATACCCACTGAATGTCTTAGTACTTCGCATGTTTACTCTTACCTTTAACAAGGTCTAAAGTAATTCCCCTTTAAAAGGCTTGCAAGCAAATTTGAAGGCAAGAAAGAAACCCTGTGTGGCAGGATCCCTGTTGGAAGTGGAAGATTGGAGTGGGACACTGTCTTGCCTGCTGCAAACGAGCTTATCAATAATGACAACCCTTGGGTAGGTGAGGTGATGAGAAGTAAAAACTATAACTGGAGTAGTCAAAAGACTGAACAAGAAAGACCAGAAAATTTTGCAACGCAAAATACAAAGCTGGTCACATGTTTTCCTGCTGTAAAACAAATTGCTCTGTGCCAGCCTGCCAGAAACTGCATTTACATGATTCTCTAGTTCCAAAACAGACTTGGTCTCACTGTTGCATTGAGACTTGTCCACACAGTTAAAGTGGGGTGAGCAGCTCCCCCTCGGCGAGGCCGTGCCGTGTCCCCACGGGTGCAGCGGGAGCTCCCTGTTTTTGGGCTCAGGGCACTCTCTCCAGGGGACTGCACCTCCTCCCCTGCTCGTCAAGAGGGCATTAATATTCTCTGAAAGGCAGCCACTCATCTGCAGCTCTGTAAGGCCGATCTACTTTGATCTCAGACTCAGAAACAGAATGATGGGGGATAAGAGTTCAAAGTATAAGAAGAAACTCAACATGCAAAGAAGGTACTACATCTTAATAAGGAAAGAGAATTCCCTCCATTTGTTGCTATTGTAAGGAAAAAATAGTTTAATATCTTTATGGGATTAAGACTCCACGGTACTTTGCTAATGAGTGGCCAGAGCTATTAAGATTTTCCCTATGTCTCCAGATAGGCTGGCAAACAAACATCAATAAACAATGGCAAGTCTAAGGCTGGCTATTAAGAGTTTGATCTGGTGCATATTTTATTAATGTGGCTAACATGTTATTTTGTTTGTAGACCCAGTAGAGTAAATATATAACATAGAATTTCATCCTTTTCCTTACAAGAAACTTGAGGATTAAGGAAATTACCAGTAATGAATGGCGGCTTTCTAACAAAGTTTATCACAAATGACCCTGGATTGTGAAGTGTTCTCTATTCAGGCAGCCGTAGATGGACAGGAGATTCAGAAAATTACCAGAGAGAGAGGACAAAATTCCTTGGTTTTTACTGGTTTGCTCAGAACTGTGGAGATATCATTCACATGAACACTTAACCTGCATAGCAATGACAAATACCAGCAAATTTAGCTTTCATAAGTGTATTTGAGAAAGATTAGCACACACCATTCAGTTCAAGTTTTAGTTTTTAGGTTAGCTGCCTTTCATATTAATCAGCTTTGGTTTTTTTCAGAGCTGCCTTTTCTGTGTAAGAGCAGTGGGTGAATGCCATGTTTAATAACCCCTTACATCCACTAATTCCTTTTTCCAGCAATTGTGTGGTTTCCAGAAAAAAAATGAAGTTTGCATAATTAGAAGAAGAAATGTAGAAATGAATGTTGTTTGTCCGTAAAGTGGTGGAAAAGCCCATGTTCTGAGGAATTGTGTAGCCTCTCAGGACAATTTATTGTTCCTCAAAGTCCTTTCTATTTATTTTTCCAAGTCCTATAGGTATGGTAGGATTTAAGGTCAGCACAAGATACTTCTTCACTGCATTAGCTCAGATGCTAATTGTCACAAGGAAGTACAGCATACAAAGGAGAGTGAAATATTTCACATGCAAGTTCTGATTTTCCAAGTGTGATGGCAGGAGTTACTAGCGAGGATTTTCATCAGGTCAGTGTTGAAACCTTCTTTCCTTATTCACTTCTCATGACTGATAAGCAGCCATCTGTCTCTAGCATCAATCTGACTGCCTAGAAACAGGTAACTAAATTCTCTTCCCTACAGACAGATTTCATTTTCCTTTTGGAAAATGTTTGAGAAGTATCAGAGGTTTGTACAATAGAGGCCAAGCATGAAAAACTTGTCAGTCAAGAGAACGTCACCCCATAAATGTCCCTAACAGCTTTTTCCTCTTTTCTGGTTCGAAAGGAGAGTAGTTTTAATTAATTTATTGGTTGGCATCTGTTTAACAGGCATATGTGTGATGGGTTTCTGAACACACCTGGTCTATTTTTTAATGTAACCTGCAAAAAGATTTTGATCTTATTTTTAGCTTTAACCTTATAAAAATGTAACAGCACAAAGAATTCTTACAGTGACTAAAGTCTTTTTTTTTTTTTTTTTTTTTTTAATTTAAATCCCAGTTTCAAAGGAATTTAGCTATGACC